CCAACATTCTGTGATTCTGTGTGATTCCTTGATAGAAATTGCTTATCAACTGTGCAAAGTTCTTTTTAGTAACTGAACAATTTTTTTTTTTTTTTTTAATGAAAATTAATGTCAGACCTTGTAAAGGGGCTGATGAAAATCAAATCCTATTGCTTGACTGCTGACCTGTGCAATATTTCAGGTGTGCCTTATTGACCCAGGCTGCTTCAGAGAGATTGATGAGCTGATCCGGAGTGAGACCAAAGGGAAAGGAACACTGGAAGTGCTCAGTCTGAAAGACGTGGAGGAAGGAGATGAAAAGCTTGAATAACACAAACCTTCCTGGCACAGTTCCTCTTCAACACCATCCTACAACATGACCGGCGTTAGCCACTCTCTTCTGTTAGCCCTTTGTGTTTTTTCCAGTCTCTTGCTGCCAAATATTTTCTGACACTAATCCATTGGGATTTTTTTTTTTCCATGCAGTGTTGGGGTTTGTTGGGGGTTTTTTTTAATCATTTTACACTTGCTTGGTTTACAGATGGGTTTGCCTGTAGGAACATTGGGTGTCAGGGTTGCACTGAGGAGGGTTGAGCTCAGGCTCAATGTGGCACTTGCTCTCGTGTTGGGTTATTTTAAGGGTTGCTGTGAGGAGTGTTTCGCTGCTGACCGTGCCAATCCTTTCTGCTTTCAGCTGTGAGTGGTGAGTGGATGATTGTGTCGGGCACTGAGGGCTGCTGGGTGGGGTTTCTTTCAGCTGTGAGTGGTGAGTGGATGATTGTGATGATCGGGCACTGAGGGCTGCTGGGTGGGGTTTGTGTGTGAGGGGAGGAACCTGAAGAAAAAAAGAGGTTTTACAAGTTTTCACTTGTAAACAGGTGCAAAGTGTGGATCCTGGCTAAACCGATCTTGTGGCAGCATGAAAAGTTCCATAATTAGCTGCTTAATAATTAGAGTACTTCAAAGGACCACTCGTTAAGATTTCCTTCACTGGATAGAACAGTACTTGCTGACTTAGAAAAAACGTTCTCCAAATAACTTATTCATAAAAATCTATTTAGCTACATTAATAAAAATGAACTATCATCTATTTATATATTATAGATAGAGAAAGAAAAAGAAATAATTATTTTTGTTAATAGTCTAGGAGGTGGCTCTGCCTGTGGTGATGCTTTTTGTAGGCTGAAGGAATATCTGCGTTTCAGAGCTGTTCTCCTTCACGGGGTAAAATGAACCTCGAACAGGCGGTGGTGGCCTCTGGCCATGGAGCTGGACAGGCTTTTGTTGGACCCTAATTCCCTGGAGGTAACTGTATGTGCCCTTTTTAGGGCGATGGAGAACAATTCTGGCAGCTCTCCTTTATCCTCTGTCTTTTTGCTACTGCTTTCTAATCCATGCACAGAATTTCCAGCCAGCTCCTTGAGGCACAGGAGATAGTCTCAGCTGCGTTAAACAAATGCTTTTAAGTTGAACTTGTGTTATTTCGAAGAAGAAGGGAAGAGAGGACAACAACTGGAGAAGGAGATATTACAAATACAAAGCACCAGGCAGAGTGTGTGGCCTTGGGTGGCAGACCTGAGCCAGCAGGGATGTCCGGAGGGAGCCGTTAGCATCGCGTGGCTGTTCCCGCAGCCGGTCGGGAGCCAGATGAGCGCGTGTCGCGTTCATTGTTCAACATCCAGAGCGTGTGACTCTGCCTGACTCAACGAAACCAAGCTCTGCTTTGTGCTCTCAACTTTTCCCTTTGTACCAGGAACACGTTGTGAATTTTCTAGAATCGAAGCAGGGAGAGTTGAAGTCGGCTGGAGGAGGAGAGGTGGGATGTGGCAGGAGCAGAGGGCCAGCGGGACGAGATCCTTAGTCAGAGGTTTCCTCTTGGAGGCCGATTCCTGCAGCGGGCTGTTGGCCTGAGCTTGTGCAAGGTTGGGTTAAATTTCTTTAGGATTATTTTGGAAAGACTTGGAGTGACAGAGTCTGAGTTTTGCTGAGAGCCAGTGAAATGAAGATTCTTGAACCATTTTATCCATTTTCAAAAGCTTTCTCTTGCCCCCAGGGTTATCTTGCGTGGTGTTTAAATGCCGCCTGGGAAAGTTGAGTGGCATAATTAACTATATTTGCCACGTGGACACAGTTTCAATGTGGAGATCTCTACGTGCATGGAAAAATTGGCAGGATTCCTCGTGTGTACAAACCCTTCACTGCTTCTTTTTCAAATGCCCATCTCTTCGTGTGTGCTTTATGAAGCACTGGAGATGGTTACGTTGATATTTAGCTTGGTCACTGGCAATTAGCGCGAACGTGCAATTCATAAATCTGCAGATGAGGCACTGAGGAAGAGCCTCAGATGATACCGTGTCGGTAATCATTGATTTCACAGTCCTCTAATTGATTTCTTGCCTGTGTTCAACACCTGGAGCACAACAGGATGGCTGCAGGTTGAAGATCTGGAGTTACAAGAACTCAGTCTAAGCTGATTTACGAGCCTGGTGCTGGGAAGGCGATTTCCTTATCAAGTCTTTTTCTGTACATGGAACGTTGAGGATTTTCTCTGGGAAAGGGGAGCTTGAGTTCATTGATCAACAAATAAACCTACACGCTTACAGTTTGTGTCAGATTTCTCATTCAAGAATGTCTGGTGAGCATCCCAGTAAATACCAGTAGCAGGAACTGGTTGGTTCTTGCCTGTTTCAAGCAGAACTCTCTGCACAGCTGCTTCCTGACTAATTAGACATCCAAAGGTACATGTCTAAGGGGGGTGATAAACTCTTCCTGGTGTGAAATAAGCTGGTGGCTTCCAGGAGAGCTCTGGTAATGTTTGGGTGTAAATGGACACGTATTTTCCCTGAAGTTCTCCTCACCCTGGTTCTGCTCTGGCTTGGAACCGTCCCTGGCTGGGCAGGTTCCAACTGCCGTAGCCATGGTGATGGGAAACAAAGCTGGGGTCCCAGCTGCCCCCCCTGCCTGGGCTGCCCCCCCCCTGCTCTCTAATTGCTTCTTAATTAATCCATCGCCTGCAGAAGTGGAGTTCTTCACCTCCTGAGCTGCCAGCAGCCATGGCAAAGCAGGAGGGGACTGGTGCACAGCAGCAGCAGCTCCACAAGCACCAGGCGCTGGGCTGCCCCGATGGTGGCACCCCCAAGAGAACATCATCGGGCAGTGAAGCCACCGTGACCACCGAGTCCTCAGTGGGGCTGGGGGACCAACAAGGGCGGAAGGCAAAGCTCAGCCAGCGCGTCCAGGAGCTGCGCACCGTCATCTCCTTGCAAGGTGCTGCCCCTTGGGCTTCACGGGGATGGCCCAGGGTTGGGTGGGGGGCTCTTGGTCACCTCCGTTGTCCTACATGGTACCAACAGCACCTTAATGTCCTCCAGAGCAAGGGAGGAAGTTTTTCACGCTGTCATGTGAGGAGAAGCTCAATCGGAACAGAGAGCTGCTCCCCTGCCTGCGCGAGGTGGTGCATGAGGACCTCCATGCCCTGAACAGTGTCCAGAAGGTACCAGAAGGTCCCATCTGCTGTACCTCTGCCTGGTGCTGGTCCTGCAGAGCCAGGTCCTCTCCAGGAGCAGGCAGTGACTGTCCCTAGGCTGACAGTGATGTTCTCTCGGTCCCTCTCCTACCTGCAGAACAAGCAGCTCACCATCCCTCAGGCTTGTGGAGCGCAGGATGTGAACATCGGTTTGGCCAGGAAGATGGTGGAGGTAACGGCCGGGTCTGGTGGGCACGGGCTGCTCGCAGGGGGCTGGGGCTCCAGGGATGCTCCAAAGAACAGGGTGTGTGGTGGAGGGACCTGGTGCCAGCACAAGGACAGCCCCATAGGGCTGGTGTGGCCAGACATGGAGTGTTCTGTGGTCTCATGGGTCTCTTCCCACCATGGGACCCATCCATGGGTCAGCTCCCTCAGCAGATCCTTTGCCCCAGCAGAGTTCCTGGCGGTTCCACCCAGTGTGTCCCTGGGGCTGCCTGGGTTCCTGCAGGGTCCAGCTGCATCCCTGGGAGACCAAGGGTTCTCCTCCCCCTCTACTCTGTCTTGGTGAGGCCACATCTGGAGTGTTGTGTCCAGTTCTGGGCTCCCCAGTTCAAGAGGGACAGGG